TGCCTTTCACTCTCTGCTTGTACAGTGATTAACACAATGTAGTTCTGATTTAAAGTGCCGATGATAAAGAAAATTTGAGATGCATAAGTAGAAGGAATGGTGAAAGGAAGGAGCCACATGTTGTGCAATCACATGGCTAATTGCGTGCATATGTGTTTTTATATGTATATAGAAAAATGCATATTATGACAGCAGCATTTGAAGTGTTGAGTTCTTTTAAAGAGGTTTACATAATTCAGTGGCCAACATAGGGTACAGGGGGTTGGTTTTTAGTTTTTAAAGAATTAGTTATATAAAGGTAGTGTGTTTCTTGGTAAACCAGAACTCCAAAACTGGCTATATGTCATGGGAGAAGATGAGGATATATATTCCCTTTTTGTCCCCTTCATCCATTTCTATATTACAGTGTGTGTGTGTTCTTCATTTGCAGAACATTGAAACAAGACTAAAGATTTGTTTGCCTGAAGACTTGGGGTCTGCTCTGATGGATGGTGTAGTTCTCTGCCATTTAGTAAATCACGTTCGTCCTCGGTCTGTAGGAAGTATTCATGTACCTTCACCAGCAGTAGTAAGTTGAATGTTTCTTGTTACATTGGGGTGAGGGGGAGGAACATTTTAAAAAAATTGCTGTTTAATTGCCAAATGATACTTGGTTACATAAAACAGGTTGCTGTTCAATCCATGTTCTTTGCTGTTAAGGGCAACATTTACATTACTACAAATTCAAATGTTCATTAATTTTTATATGTTATATATATAAATATAGTGTGTATATATACACACACACATCTATAAATGAATCAAATTATCCTGCCTCTCTCTGATCTAGCAACAGATCAGATTTTTTTTCATAATGGCCTTTTTGTTCAGTACACTATGAAATTCTATGATTACAAGATTTTATTATAGGAGACCCTTTTTAAAAGAAAATTAGCTCCTTGTTTGTTGATTGAGGAAATATGAGATTAACTTTAGCAATGTCTGGCTTAGCAGATGTCATGTAACTGAAGCACTTACAGCACTTATTAGCATATTCTTCCTATTGGGTTAAATGTAGAAATTACTCCTTTTACCTGCAGAAGGAATGGAATAGAAACATGTGCTGTAGTAGTTTAATTGGCTTGCCAAACCTAAGGACCTGAAAATTTCAGGACATAAAATCTATGTAATCTGTGTGTGTGCATTTCTTGAAACTTAATTTTCTTCGTATTTTCTCTATTTATTGATGTCTTTTTCTTGGTCAGATCTTTGTTCCAGATTTCTGATACCAGTCTGGTTCTGAAGAGGTTTTGTATGTTTTTAGACTATCTGTCCCCCCCATCGCCCGCCCCCCTCCCCCTTTTTTTTTAATATTTTTTACATATTGGTAAATATACTCGATTCTGAGAATAGCATGTGGATTTCAGAGCCAATCTATAAGAATTTCCCAGAAGACAGATTTTAAGAAAAAGACATTTTCTCAGGTGGTCTAGTGGAGGTTTTTTTACTGTTGCTTGGTTTTAAATTACTTCTGTCTTTGGTAAAAATACGATATGGCCAAAATATGCAAACTTGAATTTCTGGGGTAAAAACTTAAGTTTTGTTGCTGATTTTTTTTTTTTTAGATAAAAATCTTGTGGTGTTTTCTATAACAAAAAGCAAATATTTAAATCCGTTTTAATTTTGTTTCAACTTTATATTGATGATGTTCTCTTGCTTGAAACATTCTTCAAATTACTTTAGCCTAGAAAATTAGTTCTTTAAAGTCCCTGCTACTATATTGAATTTTTAGTTTAAGTGGATATTCAGGAATTACCATTGTTTCACATCTTGCATTGAAAAAGCAAAATAGTGAGTTTGTGGTGGTTTTTTGTTTTTTTTTTTTTTGTAACATCATCTTTCTGTAACTATTCGGTGAATAGTTGAGTGAGACAAATTATGGAAGTATTTGAAATTCTACAGTAATAGGGAATTTATTCTTCAGAGACATTAAAATTGTGTATAGTTACTATACATTTGAGAGTACATAAAATACTTAAAAAGTAAGAGCCTGTTAATTACAGTTAAGTCTGTTCCCCATGATGTATGTTGAAATCCTTCATCAGTTTACTTGCTGTCCAGAAAATCAATGTCATCTATCACAAATCATTGTTAAGAGGCAGGTTTTAGAACCTCACAAGCTGGATGTGAACAAATAGAGATCTAAATGTGCTGGTGACTTTAATAAAAGCACACGGCATCCACAACTTACGTACTCGGATCGTATTTGTAGGCATGATGTTTTTAGAGTGGTAGAAAAAAAGTTGAGCAGAATTTTATGCATTCTTTTCAGGAGAAATATGGAAATGGTGCATCAGTACAAGAACAATCCAGTAGATGAATTTATTGACTGAATTAATGTTCTTGACTTCTTTTGCCATAAACTATTTTTCTTGTTTTTACAGCCTAAACTTAGCATGGCGAAATGCAGGAGAAACGTGGAAAACTTTCTGGATGCGTGTAGGAAACTGGGGATACCAGAGGTAATTTAATTAAGTCTGTCATTTCTAGATGATCAAAAATGCAAACCACATTAATTACTTCAAAGCTGAAGGATAACTTTATGAACTAGTTTTTCAGCCATACAGACGTATAATTTAAAAAATTGATTTAAATAATGTGATTTAATACTACTTTATTGCATTTAAGTGGCTTATGTCACAGCACTTAAGAATTGCAATTTCTGTCTTAAATTAGTAATTCAGTATTATCCCAAATACCTCCTTATCTTTGCCATGGAAAATAAATAAGGAATATGGCAATTAGGTAATATGTAATTAGGCAAAAGTTTGCACTTTTTTTCGTTTTACAACATAACTGCATTTTTACCTAGTGCTTTTTGAATATGGACTTCATTCTTTTTAAGTATTGTTTTTCCTTTTTTTACAATATTAAGTACTCTATAGTATGCATTGTAAAAGTGACTGATAACACTCATCTCTTGTACTGAAACACTTCTGCAGTGATGTGAAGAAAACCATTGTGTGTTAAGTATGGAATGTACGTATGAGTAAGGTTGCTCTACAATGTAGATGTGTTTCAGAAGGTGGAAATAGAGAAATTGCAGTGCTTGGTGTTTTCAGTTTTTCATTTCAGAATGGCAGCATTCATCATGTAATTTATTCTCATATTAATAAGGAATAATATCTTTATAACTAATGTAATGAATTCTGGAGTTTCATTGGGAATATTTCAAAGACTTCCTTATGGTCTAGAAGTACCTATTAAGAGAAAGTTAATTTCAAATACACGACCCTAAAAAGAAGGTAAAAGTGTTATACAAGATCTTTTTAATCTGAAAACATGAAAATTGCATAATGTATTTTCCCTGTGTTGTTGCCTACAAATGACAATATAATTAAGACTGAGTTCTTTTTAGTACGTGTTTCAAGAATGCTGAAACAAAAGGCTATTTTGTGAGCATCTCCCCCACCACACCCTTGGGGAGCAGATGATAATGCAAAGATTTCACTCTGGGAAAGAATTCCAGTTTGAATTCTTTATATTTTATCTGTATTTTAGCACTTGATTTGGAGGACAGCAGAAGTAACTGTTCATTTTTGCTATTTGTAGGAATTTTGAGGGGGAGACTTTTATCTTACAACTCCAATGAATGGTTCATCATAAATGTAATTTGAGAATTCAGTGTTATGGGCTGGGCCTCTAAGCTGTAATGGTTGATTTAGTTCTTGTAATTATGTCATTTATTATATTAGAATGACTTCATATTAAAGGTAAAATTTCACTTCAGAGAAGATCAAAATCTTAGCGCTGTGAGCTTGTAGACATGGAGTGTTTCTTAAGCAGCCCCAAAATTCATTGTCTTCTGATGCATCATAAATTATTCAGTAAATTAGAATACAAGTCAGGTTTTTCTGGATATAGTCTGTTAAGAAAGAAAAGGCCAAGCAAGAGCTGTTTTCATTGTTGTCAAGAGATCTTTCAGAAATGGAAATAAAACAGAAAAATTTACAAAGATCCTTGCAATGCCATACAGATGGGTAAGCTAAGCCTTTACTCTTGAGGTTTTTTTTATTTTGGATTTCTTAAGTAAGCTTTCTGGAAAAATACCATTTTGTTTTTGATGAATGGACATTTTTATAAATTTATTACCCCTCCTCTTTAATGCTTCCATTGAAATTAGTGTAGAATTTTTTAGGATTTTTTTTGTATTTTATTAAAGTATATTTGTTGCAGAGTTGCATAGACCGTTAACCACAAGGCCAGATCTTACCAATCTGATTTATAAACTAACCATCCTTATGAATCTAAATAAGCGTTAACTTCTCTTGAGGGGCAAAACTCATTCACTTAAACATTAAATGAACAGCTTGCAATTGTAAATTTATGATAGATTTTAAGTACTCTGGGGATTTTGATTACCTGTTGGTAATTTGCAAAGGTATATGTTTGCTATATATTGTGAAAATCCATCATGTTGCAGAACTAGGTGGTAGACGATAAACTTCGCTGCATGTTGGAGGGATGTGTATTAGGAATACAAAGATGTATCATAGCAAGTATGACAGTTAACTGTCAAAGTTTTTAAAGAACTACAGACGGTGTGTTTCATGCTGCTTCAGGTTGATGAATTGTACATTGCCTAACTACTTCAGGACAAACCAGTAAAAGGGATGCAGTGAATTATTTCCTTTTATTAAAACAAGCATCTTATGGGAAAGTGATAGGTTCCACTTATGGATCCCAATACCCATAGCTATTAGGCTTTTCTGTGGTATTTGTGTCTATGTTTAGTTCCTGAGAATTAACTTGAAATTCTGCTGCGTGGTTTTTTTTTTAAGGATTTAAAATTGTCATAGTTCCTGTTGGTTTGTTTCCAGTTATTTATGGAATGGAATAGAGTACATGCTATTTCCTGAACTCCACAGGTTTAGAAAAATATCCTGTCAAATCATGTAAAATGAAACCAAGAAAATAGCTAAGTAATTACTGTGTTGTGCTGATGTGCATGGTCTCTTACTTCTGTGGCTTTGTGTCATAATAAGTATCAGGAGTTGGCATCTTGACCAAAGAATCACAAATACAAAATTCAGGAACATGAGCATCTCTTTATAATGACCTGGTATGTAGATGATTCTGAAAGCCATTACCTGCCAGACGAGAATTTCAGTACAATGGGTGACATGTTGAAATCACTTTCTGTTAATGGCCATATGATGCTCCTGATCATATGCAGAAGGGACGTGCTGGATCATATGCAAAAGGGATGTTTTAAACATATGGTTCTGACCCTTTAATAAGAAACTAAATAGCAAGGCTCTTACTGCACTGGTAGACTATCAAAAGTGTGAGAATTGTAGGACAATCAACTTGTGTCCAGTTTTGCCACTAAATTTTCCTGTAGAGCCTTATCAGAGATCTTTGTAAATGATCATTTTTTGAGACAAAACAAAATTTTTGTTTGGTGTGGGGAAGGGATGCTGGCAGGTAAGCACCTGAAAGCCTGAAGATTCAGACAATGTCTGCCGTGCCCCTCAGGAGGCATATGACAGAAAAGGTACAATCTTTGTCACTTAGAAAAGTATGAAAGAAGACTTTATTTTACACTGTTAACTAAAAACTGCCAAATTGCCTAACCTCCTCTGTAATAGCGATAGAATGACAAACACTCCTACTTTTTGGCTGATACAGATTGAACAAGCAAGTGGCAGTAGATGCGCGGTAAGTAAGGGGTGCCTGTCCTTACTGCATTTTTCAGAATGACATGCAGTACTTGGATGGTGCCATTCACTGGAGTAGATTGTTAATGTCATTGAACCCGCTACTGACACCACCTATAATGCTTACCCAGTCCACCTATATCGCACCCACCCTCTCACACTTTCTGGGTTTAAAAAATAAAGCTGTTTTTTTATTTATTTCGCTTTGTGTGTAAGTGTGGCCTCCAAAGTGTCAAATGTACCAGTTCTAATGCAGTTTTACTCTTCTTAGTGACATCTCATCCCAGAGGTATTAAAAAAGATCAGGAGAGTCTGAATTATTATCACATGAGTATGTATGTAAAGTTATGGAAGTATTTTGGTTTCAACTGTTCTTTCAGAAAACCAGTAACAACATACATAAAGACAAAAATAGTCATATACATTTCTTCAACTTGTCAGTTGCCACATTAGAATCAGTATTCATGCTAGTAACAAAGAAGTAGACTTTCCCATTTTAACCTGCAAATCAAATAATTTAATTAAGCTTTCATTCTTGGTAGCTGTTATTCTTGGTAATCCATATTACAGAGCATTTTTTCTTATGCACTTTCAGTAATGTTAATGTTAACAAATATTCCTGTCAAAAGGAAAAAATAAATGATTTGTGGTGGGTTGAACGATACTTTATTACAAGTGAGATTTAGACCCAAACAGAGCTGTAACCGCAATGTTATTCAAAAGGCAAAAGTTACAAGTTTTGGTCTGCATTTCTTCTAGTTCTCAATTATGAACAAATATGGCATATAGGACCTTCTAAGCATTTTGTCAAAAAAGGAATTGAACAAAGTATTTTCAATGTTTGTGAGCCAAAATGAAGAAGTTATCTTTTTACAAAGACATAAAAATTAATTTTTATGATCTGCAACTTACACTAATGTAATATATAAACAGTTTAGGCACTTGAGCATCTTTTGGCCCTTTATGAGGCCTATTCAGGTCAGAGAAATTAGGTAGTTATTTTTAAAAAAAGGAAAGACGGTCTTTCCCCACATACACAGACACACCTTGTCAATCTTCATATAGCTTGAAGAAAAGATAGACTTAAGTTATGATGAGTAATACTAGAATGGTAATTTCTGTTGATAAAAGGTAGTGATAAAATGAAATCTTTCACAGCCAGTTGTTACAGCAGGTTTATCAAGCTTCTGTGTTCCAGCATGTCAGTAGTGGTGCAGCACGATTTAGTGGGACAAGTTATTTCTCGGGTGGGAATGAAAGACTTCTGCCATGTGTCTCAAATTTTCAGTCAGCTACTTGGTGTACACATACTGAACAGAAAGGAATGTGATGGTAAGAAATGGCTTTTTGGATCTCAGATCATCGTATGAAAGTTCAGATTACAAAAGGCTTAGCTGCACCCCTTCCTGTGACTTTCGAGTCCTGCAGACAGGAGCTGTTACTGCATCTCACCTCTTCCCCTGAAAACTAGGTCCGCTACGTTGCAACATCAGCGAGAATTATTCTAAAAATCAATATGATTTGTGTTAGTGTAGGAATTGCTAATTAAGTAAAACAAACAGGAAAAAAACAGGAGGCTTTTGTATGCTAAAACTGGCAGAACAAAGTAAAAGAAGCAACCAAGCAGAGAGTGTCAAGTGTTTTATCTTCTGTCCACCTATTAGTTGTTCAACTGGTAATCATGTTTCTCAGTTTAATGCAAGGTATATTTTCATTACCACTTATGCTTGTTTTCTGATCAATTCACGTAATCAGTTACTTCTCCATAGTTTCATCAGGAGGCATCCATGAAGTTGCAGTAA